AGGGCAACATGCAAAACCACGCTCAGGCTGGTCTCACGTCCTGTCCTTTCACCAGGATGTTCAAGTGTGTTTATCTTGTTTGATCAGGACAGGCTATCCACTTAAAACCATTTTAAAATAGAAACTTGCATCTAGTTGCATAGCCTCATTTGAAGTGTGAGGGTTTTGTACCTTTTATAGACTGGGACATCCCAGGCTGTTAATGTTGAAATACGGATTTATTTCTGTTCTGGGCTTTTTTAGGCATTTCTGATTGAGGCTGGAGAGGCTGTGTCATTTCTTTTCCTTTCTCCCTGGCTCGGTCTTCCCACTCATGGTTCCAAGCACTATCTATAGATATTCCCCCAGTCCCAATATCAGTAATGAGGAAGGTGATTAGTTAATATTAATCACAAGAAAGTAGTAGTTGCTATACTGGAAAAGACCTTCTGCCCACCCTGTCCTGTCTGCCTGGATGGTCAGCACTAAACCCTTCAGAAGAAACCCTCTAGTAGGCAAATCCAAGCTAATCTGCTCCAGAGGAGGGTCCCAGCCTGATCCCTAAATAGTTTAAACCTGGAGAATGAGATTTGTACTCTTCCAGCATGTTTGTAAATAGTAAAAATGTTCAAACTGGATTTTCCTGTTGCCCTTCTAAAATGCCCGGCCCTTCCTTGAATCTTCCTAAAAGTTTGGGGGAAAAAAACCCTTTTATTTTCCTGTTTCTTGTCTGTTTAGCCCAGTTGTTGTGTCTTATCTTTATCCAAAATTGTAAGCTCTCTGGGGCTAGTTATATATATATATATATATATATTTAAGACTGTAATGAACAGCACCCAGTATGACAGAGCCTTGAGTCCTCCCTGGAGCCTCAGGCATCCCTGAAATACAAAAAAAAGTACAGCTCCATTGCAGTCACTTCAGTTTATAACGTACAAGAAAATGATCATCTGTGTATTTGAGTTATGACAATATAGATAATTGCCATTATGTGCACAGCCAGTTATGTACTGAGTTGGACAAGCTGATTTGCATATGTACATCATGTGTAAATTAGGTTTGAAGTGAAGTAGCTGTGATAATCCAAGATATATGCAAGAGGCAAAGATTTTTGTGGGTGGTATCTTTTGTTGGACCAACTGCATAGTTCAGGTAGACTGAGACAAGCTTTTGAATGCAATGCATTCTTCCTCAGGTTTCTTTATAACGCATAAGCTAGGTGTCTTTACGCGAGGGTATCTTGCAAGGCTTTGACGCAAAGGAGATAGCTGATAAGCAAAGGGATCTTTGCCAAAAGCAATGGGAACATCAAGTCTGAGATGATCTATGGCATCTCTGCTAATCTTGGACTCATAGCAACCAAAGAAATTAGGGGTTTTGTGGTGGATGGAAGGAACAAGCATGTAGATTTTCTTCATGTAAGTCTGAGAAATAAGAGACTATGGGAAAACTGGAGCAGTAATTAGTTTGCCTGAGGAGTTTACATGCACACTGCTTGGCTTCACAGCGTGCCTGCTGGAAAGCCTGGTCCTCCAAGGGCTAACCAGTGCAAAACCCTTGCATTCCTTCCAGGGCGCTGATTCACGAATTCTGAAACCAGATGCTCGGCTGCTTGCCACTCTACTTTCAGTCACTGATTGTGTTTGAAACTAGACTTTTTAGACAGTCTCTGTGCCACATGGCTGCCCTGGGAGGCTTTGTTAGAGGCACACTCCCCAGATCAGATTCTCCATTCATCCCTCCCTAGGAGAGCATTCATCCGCGGACCTGAGATACGGCAGCCAGACCTGCTGCATTGTTTGAATGAAGCAGTTGCTGTCTGGGCCGTGCTGATTTATTCTCCGGGGCAGGTACAGCAGCTTTCCCTTCAAGCTCACAAAAGGCCAGGAATGGCACTGCCTGAAGAGCAGAAATCTCACTTCTTGCCAGGTGGATACTTTTTTGGCAAAGAAATCTGAGGTACCAGATTTTTCCCTAGGCTTTATTTCGGTGTATTTTCTCCTCCCACATATTGGGGCAAATCTCTCCCAAGTGTGCCCTAAGAGCTGTATAGTTACACCGCGAGATCTCTAATTGTCTTGGCCTCCTTGTCCTTGGATTAAGGTCCCGGTCCACCAAGAGCCATGTGGAAGCTGATGTGCAGCAGCTTCTCCACGATAAAAAAATCACGCACAGGCATCTTCTATGAAAGTGGCTTTTCCAGTATATTTTTCCAAGCGTTTTGGTGACCAGCTAGTGACAACGGGAGCAGGATCTGATGCCTGGAAGCTCCTAGTCATGACCTGGCATGAAAACAGCAGTTACAGGAAGGTTGTCTAGCACTTGGACAAGTCAAGGGTGAGATCTGGCAATTGTAAGTGCAACTGAGCAGCCCTCTTCGGGATCCGCTGTGCTCAACCACTTGGGGAGGGGGCTAGAAGAGATGTCCTAAACCTACCTTCTTCCTGACTAGATAACCACGTTGAGTGGGATCGCCTTTACTGTGGTCCAAATCAACGAAGACACACAACCAGTTTCAGGACCTGGAACATCAGGACCCTCATGGACAATCCTAATAGTGAAAGCCCAGAGCTGCAATCATGTGCAATGCACATGAACTCATGTGACACCACATCAACGTTGCTGCACTGCATGAGACCCGGCGAGCTGGAGATGGGCAACTCCAAAACCATGGAGGCAGCTATCTATCCCTTCTTCTGGAAGAGTAAACAGGAAGGAGCATGCCGGCTTGACGGAGCTGGTTTTGCCATCAAGAATGAACTCATAAACCAACTAAATTAGTTCCCTACTGGAAATAATGAGCGCCTCATGCCTCTCCACCTTCAACTGGCAAGGAGCCGGCATGCCACTGTCATCAGCACACCTGCCCTGACTCTTGATACTTCCGACAAAACCAAGGAGGAATTCTTCGCCAAATTTTCCCAAGTCCTTTCTGATGTTCCAGAGGGAGATAGAGTTATTCTTCTTGGTTATTTCAAAGCCTTTGATCGCCTGACAACAGCGCCGGGGTCCTTTAGCTGAGGGCGCTGAAAGAGGCTGGGAAAGGAACATCCTTGCTGCAAAAATGCATCTAGGGCTGTTCCAGTCATTGCCACAGTGAATACGCTAGGAAAATCTGACACTGTAATAAGAGCTACCAGAAAACTGACCACAGTCTGGATTTGCTGTCTCCCCTCTCACTCAAGCCTGCCACCTTCCAGTGCCCGGGCACTATTTGCCCATCAAGTATCAGCTGTTGAGCAGCTGGGATATGGAGACATCTGCTTGAACAAAGCCGTTTTTCAAGTGCTGTTGTTTGGGACACTTTGCCAGCATCGGATGAGCAGCGTGGGTGTGGAGAATCAAAGCTCTGCTGCTGTTTTGTCCCTTTTCTGGCCCTTCTGTTTCAAATCATCATCAGAGAGGGTTTTCTTTAGTCTCCTTTGCAGGAAACAGGGAGATCTGGATTTGCCTTGGACGTCTGAGGCCATTTGGAAAGCCTCTGCAGATATATAAATAAATGCAGCCTTTATTAGCATGTTGTTTTGCCTGGAGCAAAGAAGGACTTTCTACATGCTAAAAGAACAATATGACTTCATGCCTCGCTGTCTGTAGCTTGAAATTATCAGCGTATTTTTTTTCTCAGCAAAAAATCACGATGCAAAAGCAGGATGTCACTTCCTCCTCATTTAGCTTAGCTGCAGCTTCATGTTGACACAGCAGTAAAATTTTGGCTACTGCTCAAGTTTTGCATACTCCAGCTTTTGGTATAGAAGAGTATTGAGCAACAGAGAGAAAACATGTGCTCATCGCCGTGTATCTGTTTCTGTGCATTCTAGAGGGTGTCTAAAACCTTGAATCCTGCGTGAGTGAAATGGGCACCGCAAAGCATTTCTTAACCCCATCGCACCAAAGTTTGGAGTTATTCTTATTCTAGTGAAACTGGCTGAAATGGGCTTTCAGGTTTCCAAGGTAAATGTTTGCTTTTTAACGTGGATCATCTAATTGGGTCACAGAACAGAGGAGAGGAAATAGCACTTCAGAAAGACCGGACACCAAGAAGCCAAAAATATTCAGACCGTAGGATAGAGGAAATTCAGAGGGCAGCGGGGTTTAGCCGGACTGCTGTGGCTGCAGCATGTGATCTGCCGTTGCCAGCAATGGAACTGGAGCCTTGTAAGGGAATGGACAGACGTGACAACTGTATTGATACCAGATGATAAGCTGTTACCGTGTAATTGCAGCCGCTGCACGATTCTGCAGTAAAGCCATACCCCTGTTTCCCTCGGGGTCGAAGTTAGAGTGATCGAGCCTGCTTATAGGCCGCTCTGTATAAAGGAGGTGACAGCAATACTATCTCATGCCTAAAATCTTTTATATATATCAGACCCCCTACTGACTTGCTACTTAGCTGGGTTTTTGATCTGTCTTCCAAACAATCTTCTTCCCTCAATTTTTGACTCAGCAAGAAGGATGTGAGAGATGCTGCTGTCTGCCTTTTCACTTCCTGCTTAGTATCAGTCCCATCCTTCCCCTGGCGTCATGTCCATTCACTTCCTTGGAGTCGAATGTCTAATCTTCACAAGAATGATTAAGGGCCTGGAAGACAAACCTTATGAGGAAAGACTAAGGGATCTGGGACTGGTCCACATGGGGAAGAGAAGACTGAGGGGGGACTTGGTCTATAAGTATGTAAGGGGTCAACATTGGGGCTGGGAGGAAAACTGTTCACTAGGGTGCCCCAGCGAAGGACAAGAAGCAATGGCCGTAACCTGTTAGAGGATGATTTCAGGTTGGATGTAAGGAAGAACTTCTTTAAGGTAAGGGTGTCCACAATCGCGAATAGACCTCCCAAGGAGGCGGTGCAATGCCCAACCTTGGAAGTCTTCAAGAGGAGACTGGATGGACACTTTGCTGGGATCATATGATCTCAGCAGTATTCCTGCCCAGAGCTAAGACTCAATGATCTTCCGAGGTCCCTTCTAGCCCTTAATTTCTATGATTTTTATGATTTCTATGTTTGTTCTTTCTGTCAACTATAGGTCATGGAAAGTGTGACTGCGGGGAGTGTAAGTGCCATGCTGGTTACATCGGGGACAACTGTAACTGCACGACAGAGACCGACAGGTGCGTCTCAAATGACAGTCAGATATGCAGCGGCCGAGGCGACTGCGTCTGTGGGAAATGTCAATGCACCGAACCTGGAGCGTTTGGAGAGATGTGTGAGAAGTGTCCCACCTGCCCAGGTGTCTGCAGCACTAAAAGGTACCATACCCACAGCTCACTAAAGACTGGTTCAGTGAACTGTTTGCTTTTTGAACCCTCTACATAAGGCATGGCTTCCACCACTCCGTGCTATGGTTCTCCGCCTAAGTCCAGCTGCCCAAGTGCTTTGTCTTCATTACAGAATTAGCTCAGGAGATTGGTACCCAGGTTAGAGCAGCCTAAGTGTAAGCCGCGACACAGCAGATACCTGCCAGAGTTAATGCCGTCACCGGTGCTGCGCTCCTCTGTAGTTATTTCTGGAACTTCTGAGGCATCTCCCATGGTTTTGTGTCCAGCGGTGAACTGAACTACTCTTTATGAGCATTTATACACATGCTCCAGGAGAGGGGGAGGGCGCTTTAATTAGAGCAGCTCTAATTAAATGAACAAGCTTTAGTTAAAGTGCCCCCACCACCATTTTTCAGTGCGGGGTTACTGATACCCGTGACACTGGAGTCTGCTGGAGCGCAGTAATTGCCACCTTCCAGCAGACCCAATTAATTGAGTCTGCTTCGACGCGCTGTAATTACAGTGTGTCGGAGCAACATCTCTGCATGTGTATAGGTGCCCTATAATGTCTTTTCTAGCGAATTGTGGTACCGTGGATGTGGCACAGGGGGGCAGGATGGGGTGCATGCTGCATGTGGCCCCTTGCCAGACCGGCCCTGCATGCTAGCTCTGCTGCAGCCTGTGCCAGTGCCCTGGGCCACTTGTAGCACACATGGCTGGTCCAGCCCCGTGGACCATGGACAGCATGCACAGGCCCCGGGACTTGCTGTGCACGTGGTACAGGGAGTTTGGGACGCAGATCCTAGACCAGCCCCCTCAGCTTCCAGCAGCACTGGGTCCAGTTTGTGTGCTGCATGTAACCCATGAGGCTGGGGCCACTTTAGTGACCCATGGGCCAAATCATAGGGCCCCATGGGCCATTATGTTTGACATTGATTTAAGTGAATGTAGCCCAGCCCTACAGTGACTGTTTCTGGACTCTACCTCGTATGGCGTCTGCGAGCCCAATGCTGCTTTTAGCCCTCTGAGACATGGTTGTGCACTAGAAACCTAAGTCCAGAGGCCACCAAAATGAAACGCGGTTCAGGCCCAGGACCAGTTCGGCAGCCACTTCCCTCAGTCAAGCTAATACCCGAAATGGAAACACCCCAGATATGCAGGGTTGATATACAGATCTACCTCCTTGGGTTAATTGTGCACTGGTTTGGAGGTGCCTGGCTATAAGGTGTCCATATCTTTTGTGAAGGAGATGGGTCATGTCTGGGTTAGTGTGTTTTGGGATGGGGAGGGGCACATGCGAATGTTCATGTGGTTTTGAAAGATGTTTAACTCTTCCTCTCTGAAGGGACTGCATCGAGTGCATGCTGTTCAACTCAGGAAGACTGGCTGATAACCAGACCTGCCAAAAACACTGCAAGGATGAAATCATTACCCGTGTGGACGTCCTCAGTGAGTACGGCGCTGCAGAGTGCTGTGGGTCCTTTTGTAACCGGCTGGGAGATTAAATCGGTCTTTGCAGAGAACCAAGTTTGCACTAAACAGCATCAAAACTTCTCCCTCAAGAAAGCCTCAGAAACATGCTTGGATTTAGAAAAGATAATCCATTATCCTGCCTTCAGATTGTAATCTCTTAGTTTTGGAAATATTCCCGCTAGATGCAACTGTTTACCGTGGTTTGTGCTGTTACCCGTATCAGCAGTGCCGAATAATTTTGTGACGAAGGAAATGGAATTGGATTCTCAATTAGATTTGGAGTTCAGAACCCACACCCTTTAGATCTACCTGCTTCGTTACGTTACACCCAGATAACTGAATTGCTTTTAAAAGTCAAATGCACTAGCTTTCTACTCCATCTCTCTCAGCAAATAACCATTTGTCTTAATTGACTAGGTATCTCTGCTTGGTTTGAATAAGGGTCTATTCCAAACCTTTGCACAAGTCGTATTGCACAATTGCTCACAGCGTTCAGTTTTAGAGTAGCCGTGTTGCTAGCTGCATCTTCATTTATAGTTCGATTTCAGATCACCAAAATATGCTACCAACATGGTGTAGACAAGCCCTTTGCGTCAGTACTGCAGGGCAGAGATCCAATACCCAGCCATGGGGAAGTAACCCTGCTTTATGGACCTCCTCCAGCAGAAGTGATATGCTTTGCCCTTCCTTGTTGCCCAGATACAGACTCTGGTCAGGGCTGGCAATTTCCAGATGCCACGTCAACCTGTTGCCACCAGTATAATTAGAGCAGCCCTCCAGTTACACTGGCTAGGCAGGTCTGGTATATGATGACCTACGACTGAAGGTTACAGAGAGCACCTCTGATGAGCTATGTGCTTCTTGGCAACAATTAGTGGATGAAGTAAGGGGAATGGGATGGCACCAAATGAGACATCAAAGAGCAGAATAGTTTAGCTATGGCCTTGTTGGACACTTTTATAACTTTGTTAGATATTTTTAAACAGCTTTTTTCTCTTCTAGTTGGTTCTTCTCTCTAACTTTGAGATGACTTTTCTAGATCTCTTGGAAGAATAGAGCGTTAAGGAAGGGGCAGGGAGTGGAAGGGTGGGAGTACTGTACTAGGATAGATGGGGGTGTCTTTTTTTCCCCCATGATCTTGGTAAATTTTGCTACCTTTAGTTTTTTTTTCTTCCTTTTTTTTTCATTGATCTATTATCAGTCACTTCACTGTTCTTCCCAGTCTGCCAATGGGCAGCTCTTTCCTGCCAAGTCTTCTCACATGCTTCATCTAGTTTTAAACAACTTGAGTATTTAGGTGTTCATACCTGTCCCTTTGGGAGACTCTTCTGGCAGTATTTCCATCCTCATTAGTAATTACACATACCCAGAGAGCTGAACACTGGGTTAGTGACACAGTAACAGCTCATTTGCAAGGTGACAGGGTCATTTCAAATCTCTCCATCCTGTAACTGCTAAAAGCTCCCTTTCCAACGACCGGTCTGGAGTGCGTTTTCTCAAAGCCAGAAAATATAGGGGTTTCGGTTGAAACAATACTCTCAGACCATGTTCTCCTGCCTAGGTGTTACAACATGGACCAGCAGATTTTGTGTTTGCTTTCACTCTGTGAGGTTACCTTGTATAGAATTACAGCCTAGCTTATGGTTTGCAAGCTACCCTCCTGTTTTGAGGGCCCAACAGTTAGCAGTCAGATTTCAGTTTAAAACTATATAGCTCTGCCTGGGAGTTGCATCCACCCTTTCTTTGAGGTCATTGTTTTAAAAAGAAATTAGTAGAACATCTGATTCTGGTTCTGAGGTATTGGGGGTTAAAGACACTCAGGTTCAACGTAAGATTGGTTAAAGAGGTAAAAAAAAAGATTTCTAGACATATGCTCTGGAATTTCTGGCTCCTTCAGTTCTTATGTCTTGACGAGCCTGTTTTGCTCTTAAATTATATCTTCCAGGTTAAAAGTGCTTGTTGAAGCCTTAAACCTTAATATTTTCTTCTGCCAGACACATTCATGCATAGGACATATGTCTGTTATGTCCAAACAGCAAATTCTGGCACCTCCATAAATATTATTGCTCCTCTACAAAGAATATATCATGAAAATTCATAGCCCCCCCTTTTTTTTTTGCTTTAGTTGTGCCGAAGTTTTAAACCTGTTGTTATAGGTATGAACAACCCAGCAAAGCACTCCTGAATTCAAATCCCAAATGCCATTGATTTGGATAAATTGCTTTCTTCCTGGGCAGAGAAACCCTTTCAAATATGAAAGTAGTGCAACAGGGGTAATGCTGGCTTCCTGAGCATGCAAAAAGCCTGAGATAATGAAGCTGAGAATCAGGAATTTTCCTCCATCCATTCATATCATTTGCATGTCGACTCTGAAACCTACTGACAACACTTGAAGTAGCGAATGTTTCCATTTTAGCAGACAGGCAATGAAGTTGGAGCCTGGAGGAGTTAGAAGTTGCTCCAGGGAAGTAAGTGCATAGGGAAGGAAGGAGGGATATCCCCGAGCTGTGATTTCACTAGACAGATCAGTATCCCAGTACAGCAACAGGTAGAAATAGGGCAGCCATTGCACCTCAAAGTCACCAGTATAGACAGAATAAGTTTTCAAGGCATGAAGAGAAAGCAGCTGAGCTCTGTCTACACACTCTGCTTCATGGTTACAGCAGTGCCATTGATAGTATTGTAGAAATGGTTGGTATTAATTTTACTGAGCACAGGAGGTCAAAGACAAGAAAAGAAAAGAGAAACTGAAAGCAGGATGCAGAAAGGAGAGGGAGAACACAATGAAACAGCAGTAGGACAAATGCACTTGTGTTTTAGAGTGATAATGTTGGAAGAAGAGACACTGACTGAAGATGATGATAATGATGATGGTGATGATGACAACCATGCTTGGGATTGCCCAAGTAAGCTTGTTGCCCCACTTTCATTACAAATCGATGTCATTTGGGTGTCTGACTTCTTTAGGGAACTGTGACACAAATCTCCAGTTGACTTTAGTTGGGATGGCAGAGGAAACGGTGTGAAATACATCATAGTTTCATAGTAGGTAGGGTCGGAAGAGACCTAATCAAATCATCAAGTCCAACCCCCTGCCGTGGGCAGGAAAGGATGCTGGGGTCAAACGACCCCGGCTAGGTAGCTGTTTAGCCTCTTTTTGAAGACCCCCAGGGTAGGGGCGAGCACCACTTCCCTTGGAAGTTGGTTCCAGCTCCTAGCCGCCTTGACTGTGAAGGAGCACCTCCTGATCCACCACCTTTAATTAAAGATGGAATTTGGCCTTCCTAATTTGACACCTCTCCTTTAAATACTGCAAGGAAATTTGAGAGTCAAGTCAGTCCAGCTCAGCATATTTGAAATTGGGCCAGTTGTTTTTGCACCCAGGTTGTAACTTCCCTGAAACGACGTGGTTTCTAAAGAAAACATATATGGGCCCTTGAAATAGCAAAGACGCTGCTTGCTCTTCACTAGCACATTCAAAAAAAAAATAACCCTACATAGACACAGCCCTTTTAAAAACAAGCCTTCTCATTTCCTACCGTTCCCTCACTTTCACCTTTTCACCTCCCACTAATTCTCATTGTCCCCCCTCCTCCCTGCTTCCCCTTGAAAAATAAACCTCCCAACTATTTCCAGAGATAAAATAATTCAGCCCATTTGGGATGCAAGCAGAGATGGATTGCGGTTTTGATAACATCTCCCTTTTTATGTCAACAGTTCCCCGCTATCCTTGTAAAATGGGGCTATATCTGTCACTTTATCTACAGCTTTCAAAACTGGGGAAGCAAAGAAAAGGAGAAGAGAATTGATGGCTTTTCCCAGCTAGCTTTGCAAACTGTAGGATGGCAGCAGTGAAGGGAAAGAGGACATTAGTTTAATATTGGCCTTACATCTCTTAGTGGTGCAGCAGTGATTCTCAACCAGTGGGCCACGGCATCCTGGGGTGCCTTGAGATCTTTTCAGGGGTGCCCCCGGGTGCCATATGATGTTAAATTTGCAAAAATGATTCACAAAATAAACCCAGAGATTTCAAATTGAAGTCCATAGTTGTGGTCTTTGAGTTCTTTGCACTGGAAAAACTGCCCTATTATTTTTCTGTAGGCAAAAAAAGAGGTACCAAGGGGTGCCTCAAAAAAAGGTTGAGAACCACTGCGTTACAGGCATCGTTGAGTGTGAGTTCCCAGTCTTAAATAAGATTGCATGCAGGATCATTAAGTACAGTTAATATTATGCCTGGGCCTAGAAATTCCAGCCAAGACCTGTGCATTGCAGAAACACAGCATGACGCAACCTTTGCTCAAAGATCCTAGGCTTAATAGACACTTGGACAAGAAAATTGGGAGAGAAGATAGAAGGACAGGCAGGTGGAGCAACTTGACAGGCATTTCTGCAGTACTCAGTCATCACTAAAGGATAACCTTGCTGAATATTCACATCCTTCCAGCTCTTTATTTTTCTATCTGTTCTCGCTGCTCCAGTAAACCATCCCTCTTTCCCACAAATACCTATCAAATTGCAGTCCTTTCCAAGCTTCCTTTTTGTTTTGGGTTTTATTTTGGGTTTGGTTTTATTTTTCCCTCCAGCATCTGCAGGGAAGCACTGCTGTACTGCAAAGGGCTTTTTCAAAGGTTCTGAGTTGCTTGACATTCTTCTGGAGACCTGTGTTCATTCCTGTTTTCACATGAATAAGCTAAACCCAAACAGGCGTCGTCTTTATATCAGTGGATTTGTATCTATAAGAGACAGGAAAGTAGACATAAAGCTAAGGCACCATAGTTTGTGTTGTGGGTTTTTCTCCTCTTCCCCAACTTTCCCCAGTGTTAATGGTTTCTTCTGAAATTGTTCTGTAATGTGGACCATGTGTACCAACAGGAAGCCTTTAGTATTTACAAGAATTCAAAGTCCCCAGAGTGATATACTTCCAGAAAACACATCCAGCTCTGGATGACTGAGGCTTTTCTTTCTGCAGAACGAAACCAGCCGAACAGCAAATCCGAGAGTTGTGTCACTCTGCAAGAGACGTCTTTTTGCAAAACTCTACCTAGTGTCTTCGCTGTCTAACGTGTTTTCGATGCATTGGGCTCCTCTGTCAGGAGCCGCCAACCCGTGCACTTCAGCCTCAAGGATGTTCTTTGTTTCGTTCCAGACACAGATGACCAGAGCTCGGTCTTGTGTGCTTACCCGGTGAACGACTGCGTGATGAAGTTCACCTACTTGGAGCTTCCCAGTGGAAAGTCGAACCTCACAGTCCTCAAAGAGCCAGGTTGTATTATGTTCTTATTTCTTATTTTAATATATAATGCCTTACTTCCAAGAAATGGTAGGCTACCTATGAACTTCACTGACTGGTAGGAAGCTAAGGATTTTCCACTAGCAGGTGTGGGGCAAGGCGAAGACCTAGAGTTTGCTTCCAAAACAGACTTTTGAGGCAATGATGGGAGTTTGTATTTTAGGGGGGTTGGGTTTGGTTTTGTTTTTTTTTTTAAAGGAAGGAGTCAATCAGAGCTGACCTTACAGTTGAAACTCTCATCTCTCATAAATTAATCAGGATGTTAATGTAGGCACCTTAGGCCTATTGCCCAGACATCTCTGCTGCCACACAAGAGGCCATTTCGCAGGTCTTCCTGCCATGATAAGAAGGCTGCTGAAATGGGGTAGAAAGCTCTGTCAGGTGCCTTCTGCCTTGTTTCTGCCTTTTCTTAGACATATTATCTGCTTCCCTGCAAGATGGCAGCATTTGTTTCTGTACTGGAGTAGCAGGAGCACTCTGGAGATGGGCACCAAAAAGGAGAGCAAGGGAGGGTCAGGAAATAAAGAGGTCAGAGGAAACAGAGGCATGGGGACTCCAGGAGCTTGTCACATCATTGCAGTGGCAGGTCCCGGGGAGGATGGCTCATGCTTTAGACACAGAGAGGCTGCTCCAGGCTCATCTCCAGCAGCTATGCCTAGGCCTGCCAAGGACTGAGGGCTCAGGACCAGACACAAAGGGACAAGCCAAGAAGCAGCCTCAGTGGCAAACTTCCAAGTCTGGAGCATGTCTGTGCACTCAGGTGGGGAGGACATGGGCTGGACATATTCAGTCCCATGTGCACTAGGACCACTACCACAGGGGTGTACACAAGCCCTGACTGTAATTGTGACACATTCCTCCAGACCCCCCCAAAGCGTGGGAAACAGCTCACGAGGTAGCAGAATGGAAAGAGAGAGACATGGAAGTGGATAGAGAGAGGGGCAAACCTATGGAGGGAGCCTCAAGAGGGCATCTAGTCCAATCCCCCTACTCGAGACAGCATCATCCTTATTGAGACCATCCATACAAGGCCATGTATAACCATCTAACCTGTTCTTAAACCTATACAGACAGCCCTGTACAAGGCACATTGCCCCCAAACACCAAGAACACCCTAACCTGCCACAGGCACAGCTAGGGGATGAGGGCGCTGTCAGTGTCCTGCCGCAGCAAGCATTAAAATACATTTGAGAGATCCTGGGAAGATGGCTGTGCCTTCTGCTACAGAAGAAGGCAAAACCCTCCAGGGTCCATGACGGTCTCATTGTGGGGCAAAATTCCTCCCTGATCTCAAATATCGTGATTGGTCTGACCCTGAACAGAGGGGTGAGACCCTCTAACCGGGAACCTCCAGGTCTTAGTCCCAGCAGGAGTATCAGCACACCCATGCACTGGTCAAAATCCCCAGCCTAAATACTCAGTGTTTCTGAGGAAGGCTAAAAGCCCCCTGACACCTGAAACAAGAAGGAAAAAAATGTCTTCCCATCCCCATGTGATAACCAGCAAAATCCAGAGTCATCGGAGAAACCAGACACCCTCACAGTGGTCCCTAGGATGGCACCATCACCAGAGAGGAAAGGTTAAGTGATGTGTTGTTGTATCAGTCTCTCGCTCCACTGCTGTTATTGTAGAATTGGTCCAACCTGTCAGCAGAGTTAACACAGAGCCCCTAAATGCCTGGATCCCCAGACAGTTACTCACACTGGTTGGACTTAAACCCAGGCCTGAAAAGAGCAAAAGCATCTGGGTAATTTTAAAATGCATTGACTTGAGAGCTAAAGCCCTTCTGTAAGTACCCCAAATTAGGGGGAAATGTTGTAACCAAGATCTGAAAGTACCCCAAACTGGGGGGAAATGTTCTAATCAAGATCTGAATGTCATTTTTGAAGTATTAAGTGAATGAAACGCTGTAGTGCACACCAGGAATGAACAAATCAGAAACGTCTTTTTATGTGTCTGCGGGGTTTATGCTTTTGCAAATATAGCCCTATGCCTTCACCATGCCAGCCAAATTCAGAGTAGGGGCACCAGCTGAGAACATTAAGAAAGCCCCAGAGCACCTGTTGGTTTCTTCCTGTTTCCAACACGCACTGCTGCTGGCCCGGTGTAGTAAGTCTGCTCACCCACTGAGTGTCCCTGCTGTTCTCTCCAGAGAGGGATGAAGGCATCTGTGGTTCCAGATGCATACAGTGTGTATCATTGTGTTTATTAAAGAGAAAGGGCAGTGTATTTTACCAAAGAAACCCGCTTACTGTGTTGCAGAATGAACAGATCAGCACATAGCAATAGCTGCTAGCGGGATGCATGTGTCTTCTGACATGCAAGCCATTATGGGACTGGCCTCAAGCGACTTCAGACATTGCTCTGGCAGCAGCTTATACCTTATGAAATAGCAGGACTGATTGTGACATGTCAGATCGACGAGGTCTTAGTTAACATACTTATTTTAAGTTCCTCCTTGCCTCCTGTATGCATGCTCAGTGCTGTCTGGGAGCTGAAATGTTCACTTGCCCCAGGCAGCTCATGTTAGCTGTGCTAAATTTTTAACCCCCTGGGCTTGCCCAGGATCCTCCGGCATTATAAAATCACACCCGTTATTGTAAGTGGATTTGCAATAGGTGGGCAAAAACCAGCACAATGGGAGTCTTGCCTTGGCTTTCAGTGGGCCCAGAATGTCCTGTGTCTTTGATTTTGAAAAGCTTTTTAACACCTCAATTTAAGTGAAGGACTCCAAGTTCAAGTTCTTGTTCTGTCAGTGCAGATTGGGAGTAATTCCTTTAGTCAGTGGAGCAACACAGAGGTGTCAAATGAGGCTGTGATCTGTGTGTCTGCGTCCCCATGGGCATGCTCCAGTCACCCTCGCTGGGGCTGTGCTTTGTGTATGTCCCACATCACAACTGATTTTCTCTTCCTCCCTCTCCTTACCAGAATGCAGCTCTGCCCCAGATGCCCTGACAATCTTGCTGGGAGTAGTAGGCAGCATCCTGCTGATCGGCATTGTCCTCCTGGCTATCTGGAAGCTGCTCGTCACCATCCACGACAGACGGGAGTTTGCAAAATTCCAAAGCGAACGCTCCCGGGCGAGATACGAAATGGTGAGTGGGGATTCATGGGGGATGGAGAAGACACCTGGCAAAAGGCCTGTGGAGATTCATGGACAAGGGTGGAGGGGGTCAAACTTACAGGAACATTTGTGATACAAGGGTTTGGGTAAAATCCTGCCCTGGCCCTGGCAGAAAAGGTGCATGTTCCCAGTCTGGGTCCTAGTCTGGCTACCCCATTAGGCGTAGGTGTGCCTTGTGCTGCCTGGCCATTTGCTTCAGCACCTCGCCTTTTCTCCCGTCCTGTCCCCTTAGCTCCTTCCCTTCCATGTCCCTTCACCTGCCACTTTTCATCTCTTTAATGACTCCCCTTCCAGTTAAACGTAATGCCTCCTGCCCACAAATTTGTGAACTAGCAGCCCCTTTATTGCATCAGATTGTTCTCTCTGCTTGTGTTTCACCTCTTCCCCTGCCCAGTGCCTGGTTTGTACCGCCGGATGGAACAGCTCCAGGTCAGGGACTGTATTCTACTCTGGGTTTCTATGGTGCCCAGCACAATACAAGCTTGTTCTCTTCGTTGGCCCTCGGGCATTATTGTAATAAACGTGTTTAAGGATAATGTTCTGATAAATTATGTATCTTCCAGTATAATTAATTTCAGCTCTATACCAGAATGAGGCCTGTATGCCTCTGGTACAGCTTGCGTAAGGGCAGAACCACAGCGCTCCTCAATCATCTGTCCAATCTTGAGTTCCAGTATAGTACTGTAAGCTTGGAGGTGGAAGGTCAAATTGAGTTCTTGATGCCAGGTGACACACACAGACACACACGTGCACCCCCCCCGCCCCCACACACACATACCTCCCCCCCTCCAAATGTCCCTCTGCCCAAAGGACTACACTGGTTTTCGTATCACTGAGTCTGTTATTCCGATTTTTTCTATTTGTGTTCTCTTCTGATTTTTTTTTAAATGTATTTGCTCGTAGGCATCCAATCCCCTTTATCGAGAGCCTATTTCTACGCATAGCTTAGATTTCACGTTCAACAAGCTCAACAAGTCGTGCAACGGTACAATTGATTGATCGCATCGTACGAAACTGGACTGCTCTCAACAATTGCTTGACTTTATTGCGGCTTCGTGAATGGAAGATGGAAGCCTCTTCAGTGGGGAGAAGCCCGTAAAACAAGAGTGGTCATTGACAAAAGGCTGGGATTTGCACAGGAAGGACAACTGGCTCTGCCAAGCTTGCGCTGTCTGACCCCTGGACTTACCTGTGTGCTGATGGCCTTGTTGCCTGTGCTCATGGACTCTGTTGTGGAGCTCTTTGCACCCCAGCTTTTCAGATACATTAAACATGCCAACTAAGTGAACTAAGTGCCATATTGCAGCTTCACACACATCCTGGTGGAAGGAGTGACTAAGCCAAATTCAGGGTTGAGACTCTGCCATTGCAAGTGTTTAGGGGGATGTTAGCTTCTGGGATGATATAGATGGGGATGGTCCTGCTTTGAGCAGGGGGTTGGACTAGATGACCTCCCGAGGTCCCTTCCAACGCTAATTTTCTATGATTCTGTGAAAAATGGGTGTTGGAAGCATATGTGTAAGAAAACTAGGATACAGGTGTTCTGCCATCTTTAGGATCTTTTTATATAAAAAAAAATTAAAACTATTGTGCATATATAATATTTTGAGTATTGTCCACTGTTTCTTTGACATTCCCTGCACCAATTGTGTTATCAAGGCCTGCTGCTTACAACTTTCCTAAAGCCATGTAGATCATATTAGGCCCATATAGGTAGGGCTATGAAGGCACAATTAGCAACTGCACCCATAGTGACAGCCTCAAATGTATCAGGTTAATTTAGTGTAGGGATTGTCAAGCAAGCAGGAGGGGGAAAGGGAATGCAAGCTGTTGACACGATGGCAAGTAGTCTGCCATTCCCATGTTGGACAGTTGTTTGGATGCCAGACAGGTTGAAGGACCAGTGAGCTGGAGGGATGAGCTGAAGGCAGCTGGGATGAAGCCAGGTAGGTGAGCTGCCAGTGAATTTGGGACTGACGGGCCATGAGGTCAGTAGGGAGGAAGTCTGTGAGACTGCAAACTAAGAGCCTGAGACTTGGGTGGGAGGTAGAGCCTTCTCCCCACCCAGTTTGCAGAATTAGGTGCTGTGCATGACTTGAGGGAAGAGCAGAGGTGAGGGTGGGAAGGATGGTCTTGAGGACAGCCTGGCTGCCGGTTCCCAGTCACACGCGCCAACCCCAGAAACATGGCCGTGACGCTACACCTCCAGCCACTGTGAAGTATGTGGGAGAAAGGTGTCTCAATGGCAGCCCCAGGGATGCCCCATTTCTAGGTTTGGCAGGTGTGAGTGGGAGCAAGTGTCCCTCTCTGAGTGCCCAAGAAGTGGTAGAGGCCACCGCTTAGCGCCTGAATCCATGTCTGTATAGCTGGGTTTGAAGCAGTGCTAGATGACTCGGATGACCCTTGCTCTAGGCCGCTGGCAGAAGGCAAGGCGTTACAGTTGTGACTGCTCCCTAACGCCTTGCTGGTTTTGTCCCTTTGCCCTGAGCAGATCGTGCCAATAGCCAATTGCAGGAAGCTTGCCAGGAAAAAGCAACATCTAATCATGTTCATTGTTTTGACTTGCTTTTCAAGCAAGTCGTGGCCTCATCCATCCTGATTTGTATTTGTTTCTGTATATTTAAAAGGAAGCCCTAATTTGCTCACGATGCCCTTGAGATTGGCCACCCCCACTGTCTTGTGGCAGCACTGAGGGAGTGTGTGGGACTCGAGCAAAAATAGCTGCATCGCATAGGAACAGAAACTAGGGTTGCTGTAGCTCAGCAAATTGCAAACCTGCCAACATGCGTGCTTCTCAGCTCATTTTTGCTGATTTTCCTGATGCCTTGCTGAATGTGTCCTGCGGAGACCCAGACAGTAGGAAACGGGATGTTGGATAAGGAGCTGAATCCTGAAGAGGGAGGAGTAGCGCTTTTCTGATGATGTGTAAGCTGCAGGATCATGGCTTTGGGTGCTCAGGCTGCTGCTACACTATCTAGACGTGAACAGTAAGCTAACCACTTACCAAATGCATCATGATTTTCACATAGTGCTTTATAACCAGCATACGCCTGCTCCTGTGGGTATGTGGTGACGTACGTGAAAGGAAGGAAAGGGGAACTATAAATAAAGAAGGAAGAAACATTTAAAATAAACCCTACGATATCTCTTAAGTCAGAGGTGGCAAATGCATGGCTGGCAGGCCAGATTGGGCCCGTGGAGCCATGCTGTCTGACAATCAGGGCTCCCAGGGATTCAGGGGTGGGATCTGCTGCCAAAATCTGGGGTCAGGAGCTCGGCTGGGGATGCGTGTGGGTGGCAGGGGGTGAGCGATGGCTGCGTTAACTCCTGCTGCTGCCCACCTCACTACTGCGCGCAGATTGACCTGCGAGGAAAGCCGTGTGAAGTCATTGGAGAGGTTAGTGTGTGGGTGTAGCGGCAGGCAGCATCGTGCTCCTCTGTCTGTAATGGATAAACTTAAAAACGTGTATCTGAACCAAAAGTATTGAGAGCTACTGCTGTGAACTGAGGCGAGATGCAGTTGTAAAAGACTGAGCTAGACGGGCTTCGTGGGGAAATTACTGGGTGAGGTACTTTAAACAAGAGGTCAAACTGGTAGCTCATAATGTTCCCTTTTGGCCTTAGACCCAACCCTGGGTCTATGGAAAAAAGATTCATGTCATGAGGAATTGTCTCGTTCAGGAGCAAAGTTTTCCCTCTCAGACCAGGGGGCAGAAATAAGGCATGCTCAGGCGTACTGAATACTCTGCTTTTGGTCCGTGTTGGTGCCTGGATTGCAATGTGAAGAGCTCCCTACCCTGTTCGGCTCACCCTTGCAAGCAGACGGACCCTTTGATGGTATCACCAGTGGATAGGGGTAGAGCAGCCATTAGTCTGTCCCAGTGCCGGGACTAGACAAAGAACTACAGAGCCGTTCTGATGGCCTGTCCTCTTCTGCAGCGAGCAGAGCGTATCTGTCATGGAGAAGTGGTCCCCTCCATCCCTTTCCTGCACAATATTTTACTCCATGAGGTGATTAGTTGCATAAATTGAATCTGCTTGTTCCTAAAGTGATAACTTGGGAATAACCCTGGCAAAATGCCGCCTAAGCACAGCTTTACAGAAAAACCCTGGCATTGCTGATATGCCACTGTGGCAAAAGCATTTAAGTCCTAGACAAAGTGATCTAAAAATAAACCCCTGGAGTCCCACCTGCTGGAGAAATGTGCTCTCATGTAGTTGCACGCAGTCAGGAAGCACTGACCACACAGCAAGGATGCACTTGAGTCCCAGATTACAGGTATTTTTAGGCAAATAGAAGTTGGGTGAAAAACAGGCATTTCCCAGGCACCTTAATTGATGGCTTGGGGAGAGGACTCTTATCTTCTCTAACTCTACTCTTCAAAAATAAACCACTCGCTGGCAACAACTTTCTGGCCCTCACATGCTGGAACTGAGCTGGACTTAGTGTGAGAACCAAGGAGGCCCATGATGAGAGAGGAGGGTATGCGTGTTCATACGCATCCTCCAGTCTTTGTTCATGTTTTTCCCCTTCTGGTAAAACTGCTATTTGTATTTAGCCTTAGAAGTACCCCAGGCAAGAGATCATTACTATTGTGTTCACACTTAAAGGATGCTGGAAAAGATCTGCAAGAATGATGCACAATCTGGAAAACCTGTTCATGGCAAGAGATGAAAGAAGCACAATCTCTCTCATTTATGCAAGAGAAATATGAAGGGTAACTTGCTCAGGGCGATGAAGTGCCCACAGGGAGAGAAGACCCCCTCTAGATGAGGGCTCTTGAATTTAGCAGATAAAGGCAATGAATCATAAAAAATAAGGGACCTTGAGTGGTCCTCTAGCGCTTTCCCTTCACCCTCTGGTAGGATCGACTATATCTGAAGTTATTCCTAATGTTTGTTAGGAACAACTTGTTCTTGTTAGGAACGACTTGTTCTTAATAATCTTCAAAGATGAAAAGTCCACAACCCTGTCCCCTATCCTATGTCTTCCAGAGCTGAACTATCATTACTGTTAGAAAGGTTTTCCTTATGTCTAAAATAAATCTCCCGTATTGCAATGTAAGCTCATTACTGCTTGTCCTATCTCCTGCAGAAATAGAGAACAGTTCATGATCTTCCTCTCTGTGGCAACCTTTTACATGCTTGAAGACCATTATTGTCTCCCCTTTGGTCTTCTCTAGACTAAGCAAACCTGGTTGAGCTCTTAAGTCACAGGTTTTAGACCTGATTGTTTTTGATCTCCTCTGATCTTTCTTTCCGCTTACTATATGTCTTGCTTGAAGTGCAGGACTGGACTAAGGTTCACCAGTGCTGAGCAGAGTGGGAGGCTTAACTTTGCCTGCATACCACACTTCTCTTTGTAAGGCCCAGTATGGTATTTCTTTCCTTTTTTTTTTTTGTAACAGTATCAGGGTGTTAACTCTGGGTTTTTTAATGTCATGGTCCGCTGCACCTCCTGCACCCTGTGTTCTGCAGAAAAGCTAACTGGCCCATCATTCCCCACCTTGCACTTGTGTATCTGATTACCCATCCTGAAGCATGGAACTTGTTACTGAGTTGCATCCTATTTATTTCCGATAATTTCTCCAATTTGTCAAGATGTTTTGAATGCTAATCTGTCCTTTAAAGTACTTGTAGTTCCTCCCAGTTTGCTACTGACTGCAATTTTAATAAGAGTATCTTCTACTCCGGCACACAAGTCATTAGTGAAAACATTGACTAGTACTGGACCCAAAACAGACCCCCGCAGAGCCCCACTTGCTGTATCCTTCCAGTGGGAGAATGAGCTTTGGTTAATGACTTGAGTATGCACCCACTTGACAGTAGTTTCACCTGGACCATACTTCCTGAACTTCGTTATGAGACAGAAGCACGAGAAGACCCAGTGTCTAGAAGCTGAGGATCTATCCCTGTAAACCAACAGCATTTTGTATTCACTTTTTTTAATTGAACCTCAAATCTTCGCTGGCAGTGAATTTCTAAAAGCTTGGTTGAATGGCCAGAGCGCTATGAATGTTTGACAGAGTTTTCCCTTTGAAATGTTTGCAGCAATATTGGATAAACTTCTGGGGATTAGCTCCAATTCCAGACACTAGTGTAACCCTAATGGAGAGGAGATAAACTACCTCTCTCTCTGCAGACTGCAGCTTACCCTGGAATTGCAGGTTCCTTGGATCCACACCAGAGCTTCACACCAATGGCGTTATATATGGCCAGGGATGATTTGAACGAAGGCAAATCCTTGCCCAAGACAAGTCCTCCAAAGGTGGTAATCAAACTCAAATTAAGACAGAAGAAGGCAAAATAGACTGGGTTAAAACCCCTTTCCACCCCTGTCAGGTTTTTTACTTGTCCTGACATTTGTTTAGCTACTGCCTTGCTGGCAAGCCCCGTCACCCAGGAAAACACAAGCAGGTAAAAATGGAGTTCAAAATGCACAGGGAGCCTGGGTGCACAACCCTTCTGGCTGCTTCATTCATCTCAGAAAGAAAGCAAGAAAAGGGTCAAGCCCAACTGTCTGTTGCCAGTTACCTTGAAGTTGGATCATCTCCCAGCTCCTCTGTCTCACATGATAAAAGTGTTAGGTGCAACCCAAAGCTTTCAATACAACA